CCTGCCCCTCTTGCTGGGTGGGCAGAGGTGGCCAGGGTGGCGAGTTCCCTGCTAAAGGCAGCGGCCCCTAGGAGACTTCTTCCCCCAGCTCTGCAGGCCGCCCGGGCTCCAGCTGTGCTTAGGGAGGAGGATCTGGAGGAAGAGGAGGAGGAGGAGGAGGAGGACGAGGAGGGGGATTTCCTGACAACCGGGTCGCAGGTGAGCTGCCCTCTCCTTCAGAGCTCAGTAACCAGGCAGGGTTTCCTTGGGGGCTTGGCACCTGCTGCCTGGAGCCCCTGTGGCAGGGGCACTGTGGCCCTCGGCCGAGCCCAGGCCAAGCTGGGAAATGGCTGCAGGAAGTGCCAGGCATCCTGAGCCCCGCGGGATGAGGTTCCCCTCCCCTGGGCCGACCCTTCCCAGGCCTTTAGAATGTCCTGGTCGCGCTGCCTGCCGCCCACTCACCTGCGCTGTGCAGCTCCTCAGAGGCCTGGCTCTCCCAGGTCAGGCTGTGCCCCGTCCCCGGAGTGCCCGTCACTTGTCCGGGCTCTGATTTCCTGCGGAGCCAGTCAGATCAGGCTCCTGTGCCCACACTCGGTTCAGCTGGGGCCGCCTGTCTACCAGGTGCGGGCCCTCGCGTGGCTGACGTGACCACTGGCTTGAGGCAAACAGTGAAGTAGGAGGGGACGAGGCGGCCACACAGCACCGCCGTGAGGCCTGACCTCCGTGTGAATCCCGGCCCTGCCCCATGCGAGCTGGGTGTTCACCTCTGTGAGCCCGGGCCCCTCCTCTCTGGATGGGAATGGGGTCCCTGCCTCGAAGGGCCATGGCCGGGCCAGGAAGCCCCGTGCTGTCGGGCTCCGTAGGCCTGCTGGTGACGGGCTTGGGCTCTGTCCGCTGGGTTCTGTCTCAGGGCCACGGTCATCCTGCTGCGGTCATCTTCACTCTCCCCTGGGGGCCCTGCCCTTCACCTGGGCCGCGTGGAGCGGTGACCGGGCGCTGTGTTCCCCAGGGGCTGGTGACCTTTGAGGACGTGGCTGTGTACTTCTCCCTGGAGGAGTGGGAAAGGCTGGCGGCTGCGCAGCGGGCCCTCTACCGAGAGGTCATGCAGGAGAACTACGGCATTCTGGTGTCCCTGGGTAAGGAGGCCTCTGTCCCAGGAGGCAGCCCGGCGCGAGGGCTGCCAGGGGCTTCGCTGTCTGGAGCCGCGAGGTCTTGGAGAAGGGGGTGCTGGTGCCAGCCCACCGCCCAGGGGGTCCCCATGGACAACCCTGCTTCTGGATGGGTGGGTGGGGTTATGGGGGTCCCAGCAGTGCCATGAGCCAGGTGGACATGTTCTGGAGATGCCAGGTCTCAAGGGGTGACGGAGGAGAGGGGTGGGCACCCCGCAGGTGTGCGGAGGGGCTTGGCGGGAGAGCCAGGGTGTCGGGCGAAGCTTGAGAGAGGGGAGTGTGGGGTTCCCAGAGGGGCAGGGAGGGGGCGGTGGTCCTCGGAGGATGGAGGAGAGAGGGACTGAGGACTGGAGGGGACAGTGTTGTGTGGGGTGAGGGCGGCCTCAGGCACAGCCACAGCCTGTCTGCTTTTCTCCATGCCAGGGTACCCCATCCCCAAGCCGGACCTGATCTTCCGGCTGGAACAAGGAGAGGACCCTTGGGTCCCAGACAGCCCCCGTCCTGAGGAGGGAGACATTGTCACTGGCGTCTATACAGGTGAGCGTGAGACGGAGCCTTGTTGGGTTTCTGCCAACACCGCTTCTCGGAGCTTTGCCCGACTTTGGCCTTCACCTTGGCCTGGTGCTGGTGGTCTGAGCTGTGGGTGGGCTTTGCAGAGACGGGGCGGCCACACGGGCTGACCTGCCTCGTGGGCTGGCTTCTCTCGGCCTCAGTCTGCGGAGAGGCGAGGGCTGGGAGGTCCCTAGAGAACCTAGTTTCCTTTTAGGCGGCTTTACAAGTGACCCTGTCCTGGCCTTGGAGTCCCTGGGTATTTCTTGTCTTGTTTTGTTTGCAAACGGTTGTTAGTGACCGGCTCAGAGGGGCCGCAGGTGCAGAGCGGACTGTGGGTCCTGGCACTGCCCGAGCCCGTCCTCTGGCTGCTCCATCCGTTCGGCATCTCTGGACAGTGGGTCCCTCTGAGCTCCCCCCTCTCCCCGGGAAGCCCCAGGGACAGCCCTCTGGCCGGGCGGGCAGCCCTGGGCCTCCGGGGAGACTTGGAGAGGTTCTTACAGGAAGCTCAGGGGGCAGCGGTCTCTGGGGGCCTGGAACCTGGCTCTGGCCCTGTCCCCCCATCTGTCTGGGCCTCACCTCACTCGTCTGGAGAATAAAGAATGTGAACTAATCTGTAGTTTCCTCTGAGGACGGCGGACGGTGGGTTCTGTGCGGTGTCTCGCGGAGGCCTGCGCGTCTCAGTGTTTCGGAAGGTTCGGGAAGGCCTTGCACAGGAGGCGCACTGGGCTGTGGGCTGGAGTGACGCCAGTCTAGTGAGGGTCACTGATGTCTCATGCCAGTCACATGCCTGGATAGACTCACAGACGTGTTTTAAAATAAAAAAAATACAGAACAGCACAGACGGCGTGTTCTTCAGAGTGTTTCCTCCGTGCTTTGTGCTCAGACAGCGTGTGGAGCAGCGGCACCAAGGACACTGACCGCGGTGGGCTCAGCCTCGGGCCTCATGTTCCACTGGGCGGCAGGTGGGCTGTCTGCCCAGGAGCCCATTCCTGGGACCCTCCTGGGATCTGTCCCGACTTCAGAATCAGGAGGTCTGGCCAGCCAGACACATCGCTGCCGCCTCCAGAATGAGACTGGGATAGTGGTGATTGTCCCAGAGGGTCTTCGAGCAGCGGTCCTCAACCTGTGGGTCGCGACCCCTTTGGGGGTCGAACGACCCTTTCACAGGGGTCGCCTAAATACATCCTGCATATCAGATATTTACATAACGATTCATAACAGTAGCAACATGACAGTTATGAAGTAGCAACAAAAATAATTTTATGGTTGGGGGTCACCACAACATGAGGAACTGTATTAAAGGGTCGCGACATCAGGAAGGTTGAGAACCACTGGTCTTAGAGGGATGTGTGTCCCGTGTACAGGCAATCTCAGAAAAGCTGCCTGGAGGTGAAGGGGTCACGGGCTGGCATTGGCCAGTCTCTCGTCACAGGATCTATTTGTACCTCATTTTCCGTGGTTCCAGGAGAGTCCTGGGGTGGAGCCACCATGTGCCTGTGAAGCTAGCTTGGAGCCTGTTCAGGGACCCCACCCCTCACCCCCAGCCCCACCCATCCGCGGAGTCTGAGGTGTAGGATCCAAGCACAGTGTTAAATGCTGGCGTCACTCTGCAGGATGAGTTAACTGCAGCCTGTCTGCTAAACTGCCCCTCACCCCGCACCCCCCTTTTTCTGTGCAGCCGACCCCGTTGAGGACTGAGGGTCTGGGCAGGACAGATGCTGACTGGTCTAGTCCAGCGGTTTGTGTTTCTAGATGTAACCTTGCAGAACATAAATTTATTCCTCTTGACAAGTTGGGGCACATCTAAGGTTTGGGTTCTGGCCAGACTCTCCCACGCAGGCGGCTACAGCAGGGTGCACGCCTGGTGGACACAGCATGAAGTGAACAGAGAGAGCAGGGTGCGCGGCTTGCCTGGGGCGGGGCTTCCTCTGTTCCCGGTGTGAGGGTGCTTGCTCCAGAAATACAGTTCCCTCCAGTGTGCAGGCGGCCGGCACTCCCACTGTCCACCAGGAAGCCCTGAGCACCCGGCCGGGTCTATCCTCTGTGCCGAGGGGAGGTGGGGGACAGGACAGCAGGAACTTGGGACTCCTTGCCCTTCCTGATGGGAAGTGGCTTGCAGCTCAGTCTCCACCGACCAAGGACCATTTCCCAAAGGCACAGCCACTTAGAAAAAGCCAAGCTGGGGACGGCTTCACAGGGAAGCTGGGGCTGTGCCCGCACCGTTGGTAGAGCCTCCTGGGGTGCCTGCAGAGAGCCCCAGATCCCCTGGCCCAGGGCAGGCTTTCCTGGTTCTGCTGGGGGGCAAGGAGGGCCCCTGGTTGCTAGTCAACCTCAGGCTGGTGGAGAGGAGCCCAGAGGGCGAGGGGCGAGGAGCGATGAGCAAAGCCTGCAGGGCCCCTGGCCCGGCTCCTCCCAGCTCGCCTGCCTCCCCTGTTCCCTGCAGGTGCCTGGTTCTGGACCGACGACATGGAGGACCACGAGGAGGAGGACGAGGAGGACTTCCTGGCAGAGGTGGCCGAGGAGGAGAGCGAGCCCCCCGGACTGTGGTCGGCGGCCTATGGTGTGGGGGACGTGCCCGGGACGTGGGGCCCTGACGACTCGGATTCGGGGCAGACCTCGGAGGGCTGGGGGCTCGGCCCCGGGGGCCTCGGGGCCCTGGCC